CAAACACATTCAATAGGAAATATCATTTATCCGAGATGACTAGTATCAAAGGGAGAGGCAGTAATCAGATACGTTCATACCGGAGATATGGTTGCAGACATTCTCACTAAACCCCTCACTCATGAAAAAACACTGGAAATTCTCTAAGCTATGGGACTACGGTTGCACTCGAGTGGGAGTGACAAAACCGGATAAACCCGGTCTCTGCCAAAGCAGCCATTGTTCTCCATGGAGCATAGCCACCACTCCATGGAGTAACCATTGTTCTCCTAGGAGCACAATTATACTCCTAGGAGTCATTATACTGTAGCAAGTAGCACCTCCAACTATAAGTAGTAGGGGGCTTAGTATAGGAATACCTCAGTCGTTTCTATAGCCTCTCGGGCAGCGGCTGAGGTATGTTACATTACATTTATTAGAGATCACCTTAAACTAACATCTATTGTAGTTTCACTTAGGTAAATAATAAAGTCGTTTCTATAGCCTCTCGGGCAGCGGCTGAGTGTCACATAGTTTTATTAGTAAAACACTTCACAAACTGGGCTGAAGGTGCTCTTGTCTTCACACACTCTGGATATCCCCCTAATTTTGCTTGTGATTGTTCCAACTGTACGGCTGATTCATGGTTATTCTGGACATTATACCTGGGTCTAGTCCTTTTACGTCGATTTTTTTGCAGCAAGAAATACTTTGATCATTTTGTTCAGCTCGTAAAATTACTCCATACTGTTTACAATTCAAAATATCTTCACAAGATATACAAACACTATGCACCGGATTTATTGAGTGGATTCAGAAATACAAAGAGTAAGTTATTACCCCTCTTAGCTTGTATCATTGCATTAATCAAATCTTCTATTATCCAGCTATTACTATCAGCACTCTGTTGACCGCTTGAGTACATGTACTCTCACTGGGTGCATAGCCAAATATATCCATGAGAAAAATTTGGAAAAAAAGCTTGAAAACAAAAATACTTTTTTCAAGGTATTTCTCCTACAATTATTTTTTGTTTTTCAAATGGAAGTGTTCACCAAAAGCGTTCACCATTTGGGTGATGCAAAGAGCCATCCATTTGAAAAGAAAATAGTTATGGGAGAAATATCTTGAAAAATGTATTTTTGTTTTCAAGCTTTTTTTCCAGATTTTTCTCATGGATATATTTGGCTATGCACTCAGTGTCTCACAATATATGCATTACTTCATATTGCTGACAATATCAAAGCCACTGGACCTGTCTGGGCATCCTGAGTGTTTCCTATGGAACACTTTTGTGGACAACTACAGCCAGTGATAAAAAGTCGAAGATTTCTGTAGGTGTTGATTGCTCAATACCTTGTCAACGATGCTCGGCTCACTCACATTGGAGTGACTTGCGGGATCACACAAGAGCTCTTGTTGAGAAAAATACAAGCTGAAACTATTGGTCAATTCAGTCACCCTTCCTGTAAGTTTCCTGGCTTTGAATGATATGATCTAATGGAGTTCTAGATCCATCATGTATTTTTTTGTCTCCTTTTTGGGAAGGCCCCCTAGTCTTATATCTGTGGAAAAATGTCTTAGCAGCCATGGCCACATATTTTGACACAACTTTACTGACTATTCAGCAGCTTGACTTGGCTGCCAGTGACCAAATTGAACAGTGGGGCAAGGTGAATTGTTTAGAGTGAGGGGATACAATTGCTGCAGCTGCACTTACAAAAATGTGCAATGACTCCCACAACCAGACATATGTGAGGGTAAGTCTGTAAACTAGTTCTATGAAGGCCTATCCTAATAATATTATACAGTATGAAATGCTGGTCAACAAATTTGCTCGCCAGCGCAACAGAGCATCACGCTATGAGTTGAAGACATATTTTGGACAGCTACAAAAAATTATTGTAGTCCATATTCCCCCTACTCCTTTGCTCTGTCTAACTGATCCCACTACCGCTATTTTCGCCGTAATCAAGCCATGCGAGATAGAATCCCACAACTCGCTTGGAAACAGTTATTATTCAAAGCTGGGGTCAATCATTGTCATGGACATTACGTGCCTTCAGTGCATTGTTGGGAGAATACCTGTAGGCACACAGTGGGCTCTGATTGACCGTAGTGGTAATCTAGCTCGCGTCATCTATGATGAGTCAGATGTAGAGCAATAAGTTGACCTGTAAATTACCCTTGTAATTATATATGTGGGTAAAGTTGAGACTGAAAAGTTCTAGTATGTATATCAAATTTAAAGGGTGAAATATCACCCTGTCAGAAGTGAAAACAACTTTGAAATTCAACTACATGGTAAAAGTGGATGATTCTGGTGTACATTAGTGATAATAAGCCTTTTGTGACGTGATTATCACCCACCGGTATTTTGCCTCAGTTTTGAAAGCACAGGACTACACATCCGGAACATCCATTGTGGAATTTGCACAGTTCTGATTTTAGTGAATCCATAGATGTTTATAGTCTGCTTGTAGTCCAGAGCATAGTCGGACCTTGGCAGGAGCCCCTTAAACATATAATAAGTCACTGTCTATGGTATTATTACAATCAAATCTATGATTATGTCACTTTACAATTTCACGAAGAAAAAAGAAATGTCGCAACAAAACACCAATTTTTTATTCAGCTCATAATATACTATAATATAATTATATATATTAACATCATATCATATTACAATACATAAAATAAAACTTACAAATCATCATTGAAGCCATCCTCGCACTTGACTACATTAGTTTTGCATTGGTTTCTCATTCGTTTTCCTCTGCAACTTGTTCATCCATTGACCCGCAATTTCCAGTTCTGTGACTTACCTCCCAACAGTTTTCTACACAAAGAACAGTCATTATCATCAGGCATAAAAAAGCGAAAATTCACCATGCCACCTTGCTACCACTGGAGTTATCACTACAATCAACTGGGAGACTTGCACGGGCAGCAGAACACTGTGGAGTACCATAAAGATTTAACAAGTCAACTCTTGTGCTGTCCTGTGAGCTGTGAGGGGTTCAACGTGGCAAACAACAGACCACAGAGTGAGGCTCAGTAGTCAGTTCAGAAACTACCAAGCTACCACGTGACACAAAATATCGAAAAAACCCACACGAGTCCATTTACACGAAGATGAAGGAGAGTTGGGTACCAGTTGCAGGAAAAAGATGAAGGAGTATTGGGTTGCAGAACACAATAATTTCTCATGAGGGTTAAAGGGAAAGTACAAGAGATTCCATTACAGCAGCATAGCTCCCAAGTCTTTACTGTTCTATTGAGGACTCTTACATGCGGCAGGTGGAATATCATATCTGTAGAATTATCGCCACCAAAAGCAGTGGTCTGACTATAGGCCCAGTTACTATGGGCCAACCTAAAATATGTTCCATCGCTAGTCTTGTTACCCCAGACAATATAGAGCATGTGTGCGAGATATCCTAGTGCCTGCGAGTGGAGTTTGAATCTGAGGCAAAAAAGTGGTAAGGTTTGCTCGCACAACAATGCTCTATAACGTCTGGTGCATTTGGTGCAGAAGGGGGTAGGTCTAGTCATGTGACTATGCACGTAGCCAAAAATGTCTGCTGATCATGTACTATGAAAACCTTGTTGGCATGCAGGATTTCCCTAACTAAGAGCATCAAGAAAGAGAGGTAGGTTCATTCCTTCTCGGTGCATAGTGGCAAGTATGTTGACTACTTTTTGGAGTAGATCCTGGCCTTCTAGCCTGGCTTTCATTCGACGTGTTTGCTTGAGTTGAATGGGGGAGTCAGGTTCATTGGGGGAATCAGATGGCGGATTGAAATGAATATTATTTGTATTGTCAGCTGTAAGACAGCCTGGACAGTCACAGTTACTGCAGTCGTCAATATCTTCAAAAGCTTGCAGGTAGCTTTGGTCCATATTATTGATAAGTACTACAAAAAAAAAAACCGCCGACTAGTACCTCCTTCACCAACCGAGTATGGTCACATGACTGGACCTCCCCCCCCCCCTACATCAAATGCACCAGATCCTTAGGAGGAGAAATCAACGAGTGAACTTTACCATTTTTTTGCCTCAGATTTAAACCCCGACCCCTCCTAAGGATCTGGGCTTCCGAGATTATTCCATCGCTTGCTTGCGGGGCTCCTTCCAAAGGCCAAACACAGTCACACTAAGCTAATTTCATAGTCGAAAGTTCAATATGTTTATAGACTCCCACGGCTTTAGTTTTTTTACGGATTTTCTTCCTGCCGTGTAACCAAATCACCTGACCCAAGTGATTTTCACTTGCTAACGAGTTATTTCTAAATCACTCTCCAATCACCCTGCACCAAATTTCCACCGATTTCCGGTTGATTGTTGATAATCAACTGTTTTTCAGGTGATTATCACCCCTTTTTGGGTCCATAGTGAAATTGCTATGTGTATGATTGCAATGAGTATGCTACAGTGATTTTATTCCTAGCGTAAGAGATACAAGCAACAGTGGTAAACGGAGTATGTATGGTCACGTCGTACCATAGCTACGTTTTCTTGAAGCCATGGCGTTGTCGCGCCATATCGTGAGGCGGTACCCAGTTTGTGATTGTCGATATGATCGCGTCCGACTGTATCGTCGTCAGCGGTTATTGCGGCACCACCATATTGTCATCAAGCGATATGGTCAGGCCGTACTGTACCATTACCCAGCGGTATGGTCGTGTGGCACCATAGCAGCATCTGGTACCATATTAGCGGTGGGATAGCTGGGAACTTCCATACCTGGAGCAGAGATTAGTAAAGCAAGGTATAGTTGAGTGCTACTATACTGCACTAATATGGTCGTCTTGAATCATATTGTTGAAGTGACTAATTTGGCGGTATCACAGTCGGTAGTGGATATGGTATGGTTGAGCGCTACTGTTCTGGTCTGTGTGTGCTTTTCAGTGGGAACGTAGGTGCATGGCCGGACATGTGTAGACTATCCGATAGAGGTGCTGAACCGTGGGAACATTATCCCCATCATGGCGCGGGCCTGTGGGACAGAGATCCTTTTTTACAACTGCCACCACACCATCCTTGCCATGAGCATCCTGGCAAGCTCAAAACTGGCATTTTGTCCCAATCAATCTGCGTTTCTTTTTCCTGCCCAGAATGGTGTTAGGCAAGCAGATGATGGGGAAGCGAAAGCTCCTTTCGGGGCGTTAACCAAACATACACAGTCGCGGTTTTCACTGAAAAGTGGGGCCACAGAGCCACCTTCAAGTTCCAATGGCACTCTCATAACATCCTCAGATTCAAGAGGCTCAAGGATAGCTGATCCAGATAGAAAAACAAACACTGTCGAGGGAGAATTGGTAAACTCGATTCAAGAATCAGTGGACCCTGATCAGAGCGAGTCACCAGAGGGCGAAGATCGGGTTTCTGCACTGCTGGAAGCCAGGTTTGAAGGATGTGTTAGTGATGATTTGAGAATAGGCGAGTATATGTCATTGTCGTTATAATCATTTCATTGAAGCTTTTCTAGAACATTGCAAGAGGATATTGGACTGTTTATTAAACCCTTCACTGGAGGGTGTTGTACGTAGCCAGAGTCTCATTGCCCAATGTAGTAACACTCACTTCCCACAGGTTATTCGTAACGTCACAGTTTCCGAACACGCGGCAGTCATACAACTGATAGCGGAGGAAAAGATTGAGGTGAAGGGCAAGTAAGTGGTAATCTTATTGAAGTCGTTCTCTTAGTCATCCGCCAACTTTCTAGACTTACATATTTCCCCGATACCCGCGAACTGTTCGTGATGTGTCCATACCCCATCCATGAAAGACCCATCGCACACCTCTGTGCTTCTCTTCACCACTTCATTCACGGCATCGAACACGATCAGACTTTAGTCGAGGTCCAAGTATTGACCAACCATCGCATCCATTCTGACGATATCACTGCCATCCCCGATCTCCAGGTAGTCACCATCCCATACCCGCTCAACTCCGTGGGCCAGCCTGAGACGCTTTGGGTCGGAGAAGTGGGATTTGCACAGCATAAAAATGCCATGGTTCGAAAGCTGAAGATGGTGCTAAAGGAGACGCCTTCAATTGGTCTCATCCTGCTCGTCGTCATCAGAGAGACTGAGAAGTGGAGCTCTCCTTCAGAAAATAGCTCTACTGCCATTGCACTGCGGAAGAAGCCGAAGATGTCATTCCGTGAGTTCTGCCCGTCGAGGAGAGAGATCGGTATTTTTGGGCCCGTTGTAGTGGAGGGATTCAGCTGGTTGAACGTAGAAGTGATCGAATATCACGTCTTCAAGCGAGGGCAACATGACAATGCTCCTATCGATCTTGAGACTACTGATCCCGCCAATACTGCGAGTGGAGTAAGTACGACATCGCAGACCCATTTATTTTTTCTAACCATTTCTCAGACCCTTTATCCAACCCGTGATATGACTCGGGTTGAGCATCTGTTACGTGAAGGGGCACAAAGTATTAAATCGGCTATCATTCGACATCTCGAAGATCTCAAAGTTGATCAGGCCGAAGTTGACAACGTCCATGCGTCACATCCCGAACTAGAACTCAACTGGGATCGGATTCAGACGCACATGTCAAATGCGATTTATTCCACCGCTCATTTTCGTTACGCCGATTGGTACGACCGCAAATTTATTAAACGCAAGAAGGTCGACAACGTCCAGGGATCGTCCATGGCGCCTGATGCCTTAGTTGGAGGAGCTGAAATAGTGCGTGCTCAAGTTAAGAAGCTGAGGCTCGAAGCTGCAACTAACCCAGCTGAGTGAAGGGGTACGTTTATCTCACTTTGAAAATAGATCCGCATTGAATACCAAGTAAGTTGCAGAGTATCTAGAAGGTCAATCAAACTCGTGTATACCTTTAACCATGCTGTATGTTTTTGTCCAATTTGTACGAGTGATGGATGTAACGAACATTGTGATGATTTGTATCTCAACTTCTGTGTACAATCAATGTATCAGTCTTTTTTCTTGCGACGTGGAACTTTGAAATGTACACTCACTGTGGGGATTGACTTATATGAGCCCAGCTTATATGCTGAAAAGAATAAATTTTAGCTTTTTTCAGCCAATCAGAACACAGATATCCAATATCTTCAGCATATAAGCTGGGCTCATATAAGTCGATCCCCACAGTGACTGGGATTTCTTTAGGTAGTGGGCCTTAAAACCCTCTTGGGTATTTTTACTAGTCAATTTAAGGTTTTTGAGGAGAGCGGTCCACCCGCTTTCTGGGGTTTGGAGATATTTGGTGCTATGACATCTTTTGTGGCATTAGACACCACGGGCAAGAAAGCGTGGTAGCTATTCCGAATTACCACGGATATGGGCGTGAACCTAATATTTTTGGCGGGATCATCAGTTCGGCCGATAACCACCAGATTCAAGTATTACAAGGTATGCAACAGCTGTACTGCTATTGCCTAAGATTGTGAGTGAACGGCATGCCCAAACACCACTTGAGTTCTATTATTCAATCATGTATCAGCCTAACTTGTTTCAATGCATTAGTTCTGTCCTTTGTTCTAACGTATTACCTTTGGTTCCGAGGCGGTTTATTGAGATCAAGGCTGAGAGCCCCAATGTCAGTACACACCTTTATTTGTGAGCAACATGCCCCGCTCAGGCAAACTATCACAGTCCTTGTACGCTAAGCTCTGGTGTGGTCGTGACTTCGGCTTTATACTACCAAGTTTCAAAATATCGAAAGTGGCGGAGACAGGCTAGCATGCAGCTAAAGCCCGAAGATCTATGATTGTTCTTCTTCTCCCATCTTATCAAAGAAGAGAAGAGAGGTGGCGGTTCTTTCACAAATCGTCAGTTTTAAGTTCCAGCATTGAAGACTCGACCCGCTGTCACGCGGCTGGTTCACAAAGGTTTATTCATGTAACGGCTTGGCCACGCTGCGCTGCCACTTACCTCTGATCGTTGGGAGCTAACTGGGGTCTGCATGAGCATTGATTAGGAGCTGACCTGATGCCTTCAATGTCACTGTTCTTGCGTTGCCAGGCCTGCAGGGGCCAGCTTTGGGATATCAGTATATTGCAATTATGTACAGTATCATTTAATATTTGTATGAACGTTTAATTCTGTATTGGCTAGGATTAAATCTTGTTGGGATGGATGAGAATTATAGGACTTACTCGGTCTAACGAGAGAACTACACGGTATCGGCCAGAAGGAAAGTCACCATTGCCATAGTGTTTATACTCACAGCTTGCAAAATGGCTCACAATGTCTGAACCTTTGATGATGACTGATTCCGTTAGAAACTCATCATGATACAAACGAACACCCAGAAGCGGGTATTGCCTGTAGATGTCGAATGTAGCTTCGAGAGGTGTTAATGGTCGGAAAGGCTTTACGAGCATGAAGTAATCGGTGATTTTTTTGCATGTCCCTGCACGAGAATGAACGAAAATCCCATCAATTTTTCCTGCGTGTGCCTCTGCCTCACGATCAGATTTATACAGGATCATTGAGTCACCGATGGATTTCTTCCCTGTCGTGAAACTGATCCCTCGGAAGGTGATCCTATCACGCTGCTGTACCATGGGACTTATGGGTATCGCTCCTAACGTCGTATGATCGTCTTCTGTACAGTACTGTGGTGTGGCCGACTCGTGCTGGATACAATGTAATAATTTTCTATACACCTCTTTTGAAAGTGGTCTGAGGGCGGAACTATCGTATGTGCCTTCGTCCAAGATTTCTGCCGCACTAAGGGTCTGCAAATCATTCAAAAGGGTTCCATGAAAATTGGATCCAAAGTATTTCTCGAATAGTGTTTTGAAATGATCCACAGCGTCACGGAGGCCATCACGAAGGCTGCTCTCAAAAATTAATGCCTTCAGATTACTTCCACGACAGAAGGATAAGAAGAATGTGAGTTCCATATCCCCTGGATGCACAGTGAGCTCGCTACAATTACTAGACAAGCAAGGTACTTACTCAGCTTATTATTCGTATTAGTTTTCTGCATAACGCCAATGTACCGTTCAAAGGGGAACGACCACCAGCCATGAACTGGACCGAATGACTCCATGCACTCCACTAGATGCAGTGCTGCGTGATGGTTTGTTACAAGAACATTTGAGGAATATAATGATATTAGAGAAGTCAGATACCGATGGAACGATTGCTGGATGATATGGATATGTGATGCCGACGTTGAGCGCATAGTTGCCCAGCGCACACCAATGACGAGTGCCAAGTAGTTATCGAGCATGTTTTTTTCTCGCTGGCTTGCTTCAGCATGTCCCCAAAGTCTGATCAACGAAATAACACAATTAACAGTGCAGGCTGTACGCCACTGGTCAGCTTTGACATAACCCTGGTTAACACTACCCAAATTCCTTGGAGCGCGGGTCATCCAGGAGGGGATAATAGTGTTAGCCATATCGAACCATATTTCCTTCAGGATACCCTTATTCATGATCGCGTTGGATGGTGACACGGGTTTGGATAAATCTACGACTGGTTCGTGGTACGGGGAAGGCACCTTGATCTCAACTCGAGTGGAAACATCCGACCACTAGAAAGGTTTGGTGAGAACTTGACTTTATAGACGCAAAATACTTGGAGCATACCCATTGTATGAGGGCATTTGCATAATCTGCTTTTACAGGCTTCGTGATCGAACGATCGACTACTACTCCATTCACTTGGGCCAGGGTAATCAAGTAACCTAATCGATAGCTCTTGAGACGGGTCAAAGATTTTGCTTTGAGCGCCTTAATTGTTCCGGAAATTTCCTCAGCTTGCTCCTCAGGGCTGTGAGGTTTCGTACGTTTTGCTGGGTCATTGGGATCATCTGCGAGAGCTGACATCTCCCATATTACAGTCAAGTGTCGCTTCAATTGGCCCAACAGCAGATTGTGCATAGCGTCCAAGGTAGCAAACTTCATAGGGTTCCAATAAGGCAACCGAA